GCAGCTCTCATGGTATCCAGCTGCCAAGGGAGAAAACCAATCAACTGTCCTACTCAGCTGTAGAGTATTAAAAAAAAAAACAACTGGCCCAGCAAACTATTTCTATTAGTGCAGTAGTAGCACTTTTATCTTGGGGGTAATCAACAGCTGCCTGGACAACAACTTTAAGGGAGGTTTCACCTGTCTGGCACTGTGATTTTTGTTATATAGCTTATAGCAAGGCCCACTCAGTCAGAGAGAACTCATGTGTAGTACTGTAAACATACACACACACATATGTGTGTGTGTGTGTGTGTGTGTATAAGAGAGTACAAAAAAATTGGGCAGGGGCATTGGGGAAGGTGTGAATAAGGGAGATAATCCAAATACCATCAAACTATATTGTATGGAAATTGCAAAACTTCAGTTAAAAATTAAATAAAAATAATAATTCACTATGGGGAAAAAAAGAAGAATTTTCTAGGATGCCTAGACAGTGACTGCCCACATGTCTGTAGTCTGTGCTTTAAGCACAGGAGGGAGATGGGAGTGACGATCTTGACATGTCCCTTACACAAGCCTGATTACAGCCATGCTTCTCATTCGCTCCCCTCTTGCCTGTCAGTTCTGAATTCAGCATTTTTGCATCTGATGGACAGATCTGTCTTCACCTCATCAGCATCTCCAGAATGCATTGCTGCTGTGCCATCCTCACCACTGTAGTCATGAACACCCACCATCCATTTTCCATTTTCCATTCCTGTATTGGTCTCTCATTCAGTTATGATTCTCCCCTCATTTGTTCATAATTCTAGCTTATATTTGTTGTTTTTGTTTATTGATACTTTTATTTTTGATGATTCTAGACAGGACATTAAGGATATATATTGGTGGACTGGCAAGATGGTTCCAGGGGTAAAGGTGCACAAGCATCAAGCCTGATAACATGAGTTTGAGTCCCCAGGACCCACATGGTGGAAGGAGATCGCCAACTTCCTCAAGTTGTCCTCTGACCTTCACATGTGCACCATGCTACATGCATGCACCAGTATGCACACTAGACAAATAACTGATTTTTTTTAAAAAGGAACATACATTGGATCAGTTCACCATCATCTGAAATAAATTTCTATTACATTTAAGAAAAGTTTTTTTAAAAAGTGAAACTATAAACATAAGATAAAACCCTTTCTTGTTGCCAAAATTTCCAGTATTATAATCATTAAAAATTATAAATGGTTTTAATGACCATTCTTTCTTTTTCATTTATTTATTTTTTATATTTTTATTTATTTATTTATTTTTATTTTATGTATATGAGTGAATTGCCTGCATGTATGTGAGTGCACCCGTGTCGTGCAATGCTGCAGAGGTCAGAAGAGGGCTTCAGATTCCCCTGGAACTGGAGTTAAGGACAGTTCATAGCCGCCTTGTGGGTGCTGGGAATCGAACCTAGGTCCTCTGCAAGAGCAGTCAGTGCTCTTAACCACTGAGCCATCTCTCCAGCCCCTTATTTATTTTTATTTGATGTGTTTGAGTGTTATGCCTGCATGTATGCGGCCCCTGTTGTACAGTTGTGCAGTGCCTGTGGAGGACAGAAGGGGTATCAGATCCCCTAGAACTGGAGTTATGGATGGTTGTTAGCTGCCACGTGGGTTCTGGGATTCGAACTGAAGTCTATCCGGTGCTCTAAACTGCTGAGCCATCTCTCTAGCTTCCTAGACATTCTTTCATAGCAGCCATCAAATGTGCTTTATTTCAAGACTTCATTCAAGACCAAGTGTGTCCTTTCAGGAATAATAAGCTCTGAAAGATCGTTCCCATCCCATTTCTCTCTCCCTCTCCTTGTCCCTTCCCTTCTCCCTCTCCCTACTTCCCTCCCTCCCTCCTCATTTCTGTATCACACCCATACAAAATTAGGGTGGAGAGACCACCATAGAGGGATGATTCCAGAGAACTGTTTAAGAGAAGAGAGTAGTTAGGGTCTTCTCTTTGGTCATGGTAGGGTTATCTGTGGCTTGTTGTACTATAGTCTAGACGCTTTTTAAAACAATCTTCTTGTGCCATCCGCTCTGACTCACTACTCACTTAGAGTATGAGTATTAATTAAATGGTCTTTGGTAAGCAGTGGGCATGTAGGAGGGCCTGTAAAGGGCTAAGGAGCCAGTCCTTATACTGTTTAGAGATCAGGCAAAAGGCAATTTTGACTTTCTAAATGGAACTATAACATAAAACGGACAGTTAAAGCTGAAAAAGACTTGTCCTTTTCCCTAAACCACTCCTGCCTCATTTCTTCCCAGGGCAGAACTCCCCTCTAACCTAACTAACATGTAAAGATTCATTCTGTGTGAGCCATTCTAGTAACAGAGTTCCCATTGCTTTAGCAAAGTCATTATTATTATTGTCATTAGAAACTTAACAAGAACTAGAGTCTGCTTTCCAGAAAGTTTCAACTGTGTCATCTGTGATCTTTCTGCTGAAATCTCTCATTACACAGAACAAGGAACTGTGTTCCTTGGAAGTCTTCATAGGAAAGACTGTGATCTCAGAGACATACATTCTTGAGATATTTAGATTCTGAATCTGGGCACTTCCATTTACTAGGCACATGTCTACTGTCAAGTTGCCCAACAGTTAGGCCTTAACTTCCTTATCTATTAGAAGAGGATAATAACTACTGTAAGGATTATGAGGGTTAAGACAGCCCTTGTAAAGCACCTGACATGTCATGAGTATTCAGTGAACATTAGTTCCTTTCTCTTCGACACCAGTGAAAAGACTTGCTACTGAGGACAGTTATTTATGTCTCCCCTAAGTCTTTTTTTTCCCTCTGAACCTGAACATACCCAGTTTCCTTCCATTCTCATGAGACTGGCCAATGTACTCCACAGCAAGGACATGTAACATATTCAACTCTAAATAACCCCATGCCTGGCATAGTGTATGAGAAATAGTTTGTATCAGTAGGATGTTAACTAATCAGAACTAAGATGACCTTTTATGCTAATCTCAACTTCCAGTAGCAGTCTTCTATGGGGGGAGGGGGGGTAGGCTGAGAAATTATTTATAGATGTAGACCATCAAAGTGTATTTTCTACCTAATCGCAGACCACTTGTCCTTGTCTTGACTGTCAGGAACTGAACACAGGTTTTTCTGGAGAGCAGCGCATCCTTCAGCCTTTGTTTGCTCACTGAATTACCGTCTTCACCTTTTCACTGACTAGATCTTTGTCTTTTACACTTGTTTCCAATGATCTGTTTTGTATAGCTTATGTCCTCTGAAAAGGAGGCAAGGGCGTCTTAAGGCACACTCTGCTCTCATTTTAAATATCTAAGAAGATAATTGAATATATTTTCCATAATTAAATATTTTCTAACAGAGACCCAAATCTATAAGGTTATGAAAAGCATTTTTCCCATTAAGCATCTCAGACTCACTTCTGCTCCTAGTCCAGTTTCCACAGCTCTCTCTCCCCATTACAGAAAGAAAGTAGTAATCTGGATGCTCATGTCTGAGCTTCTTAAATTATAAAAAGGCCCTTTAAAAGAAGATACCAATCATACTTTAAAAATAGTATCCCCTTAGGTAAGCAAGGTTCTGCACACCTAGCAAGAGATATTTTTTCCTAATTCTGCCTTTGGGCAAGGAGAGCAGGACATGAAAACACTGAATCAACCAGCACCTCCAACTTTGTCCCGTGACTAAACAGGCTTTGTTTTTAAACACATGATTGACACCCACTTCTCAAGGTTGGGTCAGTTGTAGGCCAGACTGCAGGCAGAAGGAAGAATCAGATGACTTGCCAACCCTGTGATTTGTCAGCCAGAAATTTAATTGTGTCTTCAGGTTAAAAACAGGAAGAAAACAAAAAACCTACTACACCCAAGCCCTGAAATCCTTCAAATTTATAACCTACAAAAGTCAATAAATGGGAAAAAAATCTTTTCCTCCTCATTTTGGTGACTCTGATAAGACAAGCTTAAAGAAGGAAAGACAAATAAAGTGAGCTGAGGGCAGAGGAAAGGAGACTGGGTTTGATGGTGATGAATCAGGTCATTACACCCAGAGGGTGTCTCCTAACTGTGCAATTAGAGCTCAATAAAAAGGTTCCAGTACCTTCTGTGGGCTCACAGCCCGCTGCCCCACATTCAGCTTGCTCTCACTCCTGCAGAAGGTAAGTCTCACAGACCATTTGCTTGAGCGTGCTTAGGACCCCGGATGCTGCTGTGCGTGTATGTGAGATTGTGCTAGTAGTTTGGAGGACAGATGATGACCTTTGTTCATAATACCAGACTGGGAGTCCTGCCATCCAAAACACATCTTTGTTGGAAATTTTTAGATCATTTTCTTTTTCAAAGAATATAAACTGTTTAGATGGCATATCATGAGTTCTATTTAATAAGACATGGGACTCAGATATATATTAAGATGGAAATGCATACTTATTTAAATGATGGAGAATGAGTGAGGAGTCCAGAATCTGTTTTAACAGTGAATTCCCATGGAACAGTGTGTTCTCAGTAAAGACATGTATCTGCCACCGACCAACACGAGGGTGGATTTTCTTGACATCATTTCTCTTCCCTCTAAGAAGCTTAATTAACTTTCTTTGCTGCCAGAGGAGGCTAAACTGAGCCAGGGGAGAGGAAAGCAGATGGGCACTCTCATGTGAGGTTCAAAGAATGAATCCCCTCTGTTGGCTTCCATTTGTGCATTTCGGTACTAATGCTTCAGTTATTTTTTCTTTCTTTTTTCCTTCTTCTTGAAATAAAGTGTTCCCTCACATGAGCATTGCTATTTACTATAGCACAGAGTGAAGTGTCTGTTCTGTGCTAGATCTATGCACAACTAAATCACTCCTGGAATTCAAATATAGTATTTTAAGTACAGAATGCGGCAGGCAATGTGAGCAGAGGTGGGGAGAAGCTGGAAAAGGGTGATCACCGTATGCCTTTCCTGAAGGGCCTGGCCTGGAAAATGAGCCTTATTCTTTCTTGTAGTCTCTCTGGAGTTTGCAAAGATGCCAAGGCTTCTGAGAGATATCCTCTGTGTCATCGAGACATTCCACAAGTACGCCAGTGAGGACAATGAGAAGGCAACGCTGACCCACAGAGAGCTGAAACAGCTCCTTGAGGGCGAGTTTGGGGACTTCCTTCAGGTGAGGCACTCACAGAGCCATTTCCTATCTGCCCATTTTGCACTTGGCTAACCAGCTTTCAACTTTCACTGACCTTTGTACAATTTTTTTTGCAGTCTCAACTGTCCCTTTTGTGAAATTACTTAGTCAGTCCTAGAGAGAACAGGAGGTTTCATTACTGGAACTATTGCTTCCTCTGAGTAGAGTCAGAAATCTATGATGCATCTAATGACAACTCACATGTGATGTGAGAGCTAGTGCTCATTAGAGTACAAAGATGAAAATGGCATCAAAGACACTGAAGTCTCACTGTTAGAGGAATTTCACTCATTAAAAATAGGATGCAAAATATAGGGGATTCTCTGAAATAGAAGAACAGTAGGAAACAGACATTAATAAGGGAGATATGGATAAAATGTGGTTATTTTAAGGGGAAGGGGGAGGGAAGGTTATACAAGGAACCTAGGGAATAAAGGGAAAGAAGGAGCTCAAGAGAGGTGGGACCATAAGAGAAGGGTATCATTAAGGGAGAAATGGGGAAAATGGGGACACCTTAAATGGGGAAACCATGGTGGAAGGGTAAGACAATGTGAGAGATAAATAATGCCTAGCTAGGTTTAAAAAATCAGAGGGAAACATATTAGTCCAACAACCTACTGACAAATTATACATACAACCAGATCAAGGAATATAATATCTGTCTATACAAGGTTTATCTGAGAATATTTGGTCTTTGCCCAAGATTTATCTACATGACACAGTAATTAAAAGTACCAGACGGGTGGAACTAACCTTCTTGGATATTTAACAGACATACTTTGAGGCCTATACTAATTTGGTCAGAGGGACATAAAGGACAATTTTTGATCCTTTCCCTCCTAGGTCAACTAAGTTCCAGGGGACTATGAGCATCTCTCAAAATGTCCTGTAACTGTGGTGAGTCACCTGTCCTCTTGATCAAGGAGGCCATGGAGACCCCACCATATGGACTTGAACCAGTGTCCAGTCTACAAAGAGGAGGGTCAACACAGAGGAAACATTTCTCCATGCTTCCAAGCAAAGTGAGCCATGGTCAAGCAGGACCTTTGACTTACCTTCACATAGATGGAACTGGTAAAAGAAAGGAGCCAGGGGCTCCTCCCAAGCCCATGTGAGCCCTGAGAAACAGATACTCAAACAGCCTTAAGAGTAAAAATAAATTGGTTTATCTGGGCCAACTGTAGGGTCTTAAACACCCAAAAGGAAAGTATAACCAAAGATTAAAGGGGTCAATATAATCCTTTAAGAGTTCATATATATATAGCTAAAGGCTACATAACAAGAAACAATACCAGACAGGAGATACCTTCCTTTGGTTGGCCAGGGTGGCCCAAGAGACTCCCAGACAGTAACCCAGCATAGAACTGGGAAAATGAACAGCAGACCCCAATCTTATCTAAAAGAATATTGACAACTGATTGCTGCTAATGAGGAACAGCTGACCTTCCTAAAACACGGCTCTCTAGATAGGCCAACTAGTATGAGCAGATGAACAAGCACTGGGGACGGCTGGAGGCACTGACAAGACAGTGGTCAGTAACAAGGATGACAGAGTATATGGGCTCCAGTGGGGAGTAGGAGGGTTATGGGAGGGTGCCATTTGGGAAGTGGGTATATAGATGAATAAGATTGAGATGTTCTGTATGATATACACACACACAAAAATCAACAAATAAAAAATAACATATTTGAGGAGGAAGCATTAAAAATGTACTTCATGTTAATTCATAGAGGTGATAAACATTACCATTGAAATCTACCTGAGGACTTCATATCCATACCCAGGTGCCAAGGATCCAAGTGTAACCGACTGTGACTAGTAATAATCAGATGCATAGAGATTAGAGATGCATGTGCAAACATCAAAGTATTAGTAGCATTAAAAATAAGTCTTTCTGTAGGAAACTATATTTTAAAATGAAATGGAGATCTTTTTTAAAGGTTAAAAATTCATTCAATTTTATGTCTTACAAAAAATTTTAGAACCACTTTCAAAAGTGATATATCCCTGGTCTGGTGTGTGTTATTGAATATGTTAAAGCTATAATGAAATGCTTCTTCTAATCATGTGGTTATTACATAAATTTTTTAACTAAAAAAATAGGGGATTCTCAGGAGAACTGCAGCTACTCAGAACATTTGACAACATATCAATAAGCTGATTTCTCTTTATGTTTGTATGCAGCCACATGTCTTACATGCTGTGGAGAGAAAGTTGAACCTTCTGGATAGTGACAGAGATGGCACCATCAGTTTTGAGGAATTTCTTCTTGCAACCTTCAGTTTATTGAGCCTCTGTTACCTTGACATAAAATCATCACTAAATTCAGAACCCCAACAGAAGTCTAGATCAGAGAAGACAGATGATGTGGGCCGTTGGGCAATCACCAGAAGTCGTCAGCAGGTAGCAGGAGTTCTGCCAACTCAGGGAAGGTCGATACCTCCTTCAGGAACAGCATCATCAGCTCAGCTCAGCAACAAAGAAGAGGCAGTTGGATACAATAAGGTGAGCCCATGGGAAGACACTGAGACTCACAATCTGCCAAGGGAAGTGGCCGAGCCCAATGACCCTAAGAGCCAACGTCTAGAAGAAGATGGTCAGGAAGTAGCAGATGTCTCAGCAGCAGAAGACGATGGAGACCAATTTAAGATAAACAAGCTGTTAGAAGGATCAAAACAGACCAGCAGTCCTACAGGCAAGATCCCTAAAGAAGGAGATCAACCAGTCAGGAGGCAAAGTGACACCAAAACAAGTGACCGAAAAGAAATAGCACAGAGACCATCTAAAGACCAGGAAATTGACACAGAAAAGAATATCATGAAACATTCTAAAGCACAAGATCCATTCTTGCAAGGAGACGATAAACCCAGTTCAGAGCTCACTGACTTGCCAGTACAAGCTGCTGCCAGGAAACCATCTGGGGCACAGAAATGTATTGAGTCTATGGATGATTACAGAATGTCTGAGACTCGAGAACCAGAAAACGATGCTGGCAGAGCACCACCAGAGACCACAAATTCAGATGAGCCTGAGGACGGTAATAGAACATCTGAGACCCCCGAATTACCAGCACAAGAAAGAGAACATGAAGCAGCAGAAAAGGAAGAGGGGAGAATTCATGAGGCACAGACAGAGCATGAAAGAAAAACTCACCCCCCCGCATTGGAATCCCAAACACAAGATGGGATGCATCAAGAATCCCAAGCCTCATGGAGGGAAACCGGTGCTGAAAAAGGTTCTTGCATACAAGATCTAAGCTCCAAAGAAGGAAATGTCTCTGAAATTAAAAAAGCATCAGTCTCAGCAAAAGAGGCAAGACATCCCAAGGAAGACACAGCAGAAGCATTTGCAAGCAATGAAAACTGCCCTGCAGCTGAAGAGACACCAGGAGCAAGGGAAAGAACACGGGAGCCGGCACCTGTTGAAAAGCAGTCTCGGAGAGAAAATACTGGGGTCACTAGGACTCAGGATAAGCCGGTCAGGAAGGATGATGCCTATGAGGAGGAGGATCCTGTGTTGCCAGTTGCACAGAATAGTGAGGGGTCTAGTGGAGCTCCCAACAGCCTGGCTCTGGTGATTGGTAACAGCAGCTCAGAGACAGGTAAACCCCATGTGCCAGGGGATTCCCAGAGTCAGGTGGACCCCCACGGAAGGACTATGCAAGAGGGTCACAATAACAACCCAGGTGCCGGGAAACAGAGAGCACCAGGAGAGAGCAGCAGAGCACATGAGGCAGTAGTACTGTCAGTCCAAGATGTGCAGCTCCCACAGGAACAGGAACAGCCTGCCAGAGAGAAACACAACAGTCAGAGCCCAGGGACCGACAGAGGCCTAGGGGCAGCTGTGGAGCCCAGTGAACATTCACAGGCACAGGAGACCACAGCAGGAGATGAAAACAGAAAATTCCTAGAGGCAGAGAGTTCAGAGACCCAGGATGCAGACTTCCGTGGTCAGATTTCCGTAGAGCAGCTCCCTGATAAGGATGGTAACAGAAAAGAGCTAAAGGTCCAGGGCCCAGACGCCAAAGAAGATGGAGCACCAGAGACCCAAGAGACCCTATTCAAAAGTCTAGAAGAGAACAAGTTAGCCTCCCCCAAGACACATGTTGAAAAAGAAAAGCCCACAGCATTGGAGGAAGAAGTTGAAAATCCCCAGGAGTCATCAAGAGAAGCTGCCGAACAAAGCAGTGAATCATCTTTATCACAGGTTCTCTGAGGACCTTCATTCATCTCACACACTCCAGCTTCTTCCCTCTCATTCATCCGCAATACTCACATGCACACATTCAGGTGAAGGTTAATAATCCTTTGCATTCTCTTCTAAATTTATGCAAGAACAAATAATAGAGTACTTAGCAGTGGGAGCCACCACCATCTGACTACACGAACAGAAGCAGGACTCTTACCATACAACCTTATTTCCCAGTACTGAAATGGGCTTTATCATGAGATTATTTCTCTTAGTTTATCTATCATTAAAAAGAGAAAAATGCTTTCCACATGTTTAGCAGGCCTCAGTTCTTTTTTTAAACATAGCAGTACAAAATTATTAGACTTTGAAATACTATTATAAAATGCTAATTCAGGGCTGGTGAGATGACTCAGCAGGTAAAGTGCTTGCTGTGCAAGCCTGATGACCTGAGTTTGATCCCCAGAACCCACATAAAGGTGGAAGGAGAGAACTGACTACGCAAAGTTATCTTCTGACCTCCACATGCATGCTGTGGTACACGTGCTCATATATGCACACTAATAATAATTAAAAATTAAAAATAATAAAATAACATACTAATCCATAGGTACTTTATATTTCCTAGAAGGAGTTCAAGCTTGTCCTAAAGTTTTATCCCTGAAACTAAATTCAAATTTTAAAATAACTCTCATTTTCTAGCATTTAACTAAAGTAAGCTCATGGCCCTTTGCTCATTTACAGGTACAGTTGGATCTCTGCCCTGGGCACATTCATTCATTCAATAAGTCTTCATTAAGTCTCATTCTTTTACAAGTCTTTCATGGCTTCTGACTCAAATAAGCAACCAGAATAATAATAATAATTCTGAGAGAGGAGAAAGAATAAAAATCTAAAGTGTGCCTGATTCCAGAAGAACTCTTCTAACCAGCTGTCCAGAGGGTGTACTAAATGTGCTTTATCAAGGAGTGTTGAGTTAAAATTGATAATTAAATAACTTGATGGTTAATTTCTTTTGTTGGTTTCTTTGGTTTATTTTTCCTTCATTCTCCATCTTGCCTTGGAGACACTGAACAGAAACAAAAATAATCAGTTATTGTGTTTTGTTTCAAAATACAGTAATTAAAAGATGATACTCTAAAAGCCTGGTGATGACCCAGAAATACTGATCATAAAATGTTTCTTGAAGGCAAAAAATCAGCCCAATACTCCTTCCCTTTTCATTCTGCCCCCAAGATTCAAATTTTTTCTTCATCAATTTATACCTCTTCTAAAACCTAAAATCCAAACATATGCCTTCTCCCCTCTTCTCTCCAATACTTTCAGCTCTTTTCATTCTTCTAGGGGGGGTCATGGGGTGAGTCTGTACATACACAGAGGCCAGAAGTTGAGAATGGGTGCCATCTTCAATTACTCCCCACCTTATTAGGAGGGGAAAGGTTTCTCAAGGAACCTAGAACTCAATTCAGCCAGACTGCCTGGCCAGCAAGCCCCAAGGATCCTCCCATCTTTGCTTCCCTAGCACTGGAATTACTGGTGCACCATCACACATGGCTTTTAACATGGGCGTTGGGGACCTGAACTCGGGTCTTCATGTTTGCATGGCAGGCACTTTACCAACTAAGCCATCTCCCCAGTCCCAACTGTTTTCATTCTGCCTTCAAATATAAATGAAAATCCCTTTTGGAATATAAATGATGGGTAGGTAGATAGATGATAGATAATAGATAGATAAATAGATGATAGATAGATAGATAGATGATAGATAGATCATAATAGATACAGATAGATGATAGATAGATAATAGAGATGGTAGATAGATAGATAGATAGACAGATGATAGATAGATAGATAGATAGATAGATAGATAGATAGATAGATAGATAGATAGATAGATAGATAGATAGATGATAGATAACAGATGGATAGATGGATGGATGGATGGATGGATAGGTGATAGATGATGTGTAGGTAGGTAGATAGATGATAGATGGATGGATAGATGTATACATACATACATGATAGACAGACAGACAGATAAATGATAGATAGATAGATAGATGATAGATAGATAGATAGATAGATAGATAGATAGATGATAGATA